CCTACACGAGGAAAAAGTGGAGTAAAAGGGACTGTGGTGTGACTATGCCCCATTAGAGGTGCATTCTCATCTTCTCTCTCTGTCTTGCTCCAGTGAGTACATGTGCCCACTAGTAAATTAAAAAGGAAAGGTTAAAATGAATCCCTACTCAAATGTTTTTCTAGACAAAACACTAGTCCTTTCTCCCCCATCCTATCTTATCTGGTTTCCCCTAATTGAGATCATTATTGGTTTAAATCCTGAGATTGTGATTAACATACAAAAATATCAATCAAATGCAAAAAAGACGAAGTTGTAGCTTTTGCAATAGGCACAAGATTTCATGAAGTCAATGAAAGTAATATAGAGAATTCTTCCAAATCATACACAATGCTATTGGTAGATGAGACTCTGCAGTTATGCCAGTAACAACAGAAGTAGAGAAAATTATAAAGGAAATGTGCTGAGGCTAATCCCATAGTATGGTGGTTAAGCCCTGTGCATAAGGAGCCAGATCCCACATGGCTGACTACAGTTCAAGTCACCGCCCTGACATTTTGAAAAACACACTAGGAATAGTGTGTAGGGTCCCCAAATTCTGACAGGATGAAGAAATGGAAGAGAAGGGATATAGCATGACTACACCCCATTGGAGGGTGATGTCTCTCTCTCTCTCTTTCTTGTGTACTTCTGCATGCAAGTACATGTGCACATGCCCTCTGATAATAAAAAAATGTGCTTTGAAAGGAATAATTAGAATATAAAGCAAATAAAGGAGACTATTGGGAAAACTGATAATTAGGCTACTAATAATTTTGGTAAAAAAAAAAAAAGTACTCCTTATTAAGAAAAGAAAGAAAAAAGTCCACACAGACTGGGAGAAAATATTTACAAATCATATATATTACACAGGACTTATCCCTAGGATAGATTTTTTTTTATTATCAAAAATGTATAATAAGAAAACAAATATCTTTACTAAGGAGACAAAAACTTTAATAGATATTTCACCAAGAAAGACATATGGATATTAAATAAGCACTCAAACAGATATTCATCATTATTAGTCATTAAGAAAATGTAATTTATTTTTTATTTATTTTTAAAGAATTATTTTATTAAACTTTATCGATTTTATTTATTTATTTACTCATCCTAATTTGACCAGAGAGGGACAAGAGTGAGAGTGAGAGAGAGAGAGAGAGAGATAGAGAAAGCGAGAAAGCAAGCTGCCAGGTCCGGGACTCGAACTGCAGTCGGTCATGTGGAAGTCCAGCGCCCCCAACCAACACATCACCTGCCAGCCCAGAAAATGAAATTTAAAACCACAATGAGGGGTCAGCAGGTACTGTGGTGGTTAAGGGTGCTGGACTCCCACATGGCCAACTGTGATTTGAGTCCCAAACCTAGTAGCTTGCTTTCTCACCCCTCTCCCACCTCTCTCTCACTCTGTCCCTCTCTGGTCAAATTAAAATAAATAAATACATAAAAATTAAATAAATAAATAAAGTTCAATAAAATAATTCTTTAAAAACAAAACAACAATAAGTAAAACCCACAATGAGATACTACTATCCTCCTTCTAGAATAAAGTTTAGAAAGACTGAATAAGGGCTAATTGTGTAGTACATCGGTAACAACTGCTCATTAGAAGCCAGATCCCACAAGACAACTGCAGTTCAAATCCCCAGTCAGGTCAGCCTGAAACACAATGGGAACATATACTTGTGTCCAAATTTGATGAGATGGAGAACTGGAAGGAGGGGATCATGGTGTGATCAGACCCTGTGCAAGGTGTCTCTCTTTCACATGCATGTACACATGCTTTGTCATGAATAAAGAAAAAAAATTGGGACTGACAGGTGGTATGGTGGTTGGGGTGCTGGACTCCCATGAGTTCCGGACCTGGAGGCTTACTTTCTCACTTTCCCTCTCTCTTTGGTCAAATAATAATAATAATAATAATGAAAAATTAAATAATTCCTTTAAAAAAAATAGAGGCCAGCAGGTGGTGTGATAGTTGAGGTGCTGGACTCCAACATGGCTGACCATGGTTCAAGTTCTGGACCTGATAGCCTGAGAATCACAACAAATAAATAAATAATGTTTTTTAAAACAAGTTTTAAAAATAGGCTATAAAAATACTGACTGCATTAAGTGTAGGCAAGGATGTAGAGCAACTAGAATTCTCATATGTAAAATATTCTAACAACTTTAGAAAAGAGCTTGCATGGGCCAATGTGTAGCATGGTAGTTGAGGCAGGTGGATCCCTCATGGCTGGCTACACAGTTCAAGTCTCAGAACTCACTGCTTGAAAAAAAGTGCTTGGTATGTCCCAAATCCTGAAAGGAGAGTAGAGGAGAAGGCATTGTGGCCTGGCTACCCCCTCTGAGGGGGGTCGGAGAGAGGGTGTGATTTTTGCTTTGTTTTCTCTCTCTCCAGGGAGCAAATGTGCCCTATAGCAAAATTTTTAAAAAAGAGAAAAAGGAAAGAGCTTCCAGTGTCTTAAAAAGTTATATATATATATATATATATATATATACACACACCTATCATATAGTCCAGACATTCTAATATATTTGACTAAGAGGAAAGGAAGCAAAATATATCTATATAAAGACATTTATATTTACCTGAATATTCACAGTGGCTTGATTTGCAATAGAAATAACTGAATTGTCTATTAATAGATGAATGGTTAAACAAACTGTGGTATATTCTTATAGTGGAACACTACTCAGCAATTGTTCAAAAGGAAACCAAAGAACTATACTATCCCTGATGAAGATCCAGTGGGCCCAATGACTAACAGCAATAGCATTAACTGGCACCTCATTAAAAATGTAATTGCACGGGGCCAGCAGATGGCATAACGGCTATATCGCTGAACTCCCATGTAGTTGACTGTGGTTCGAGTCTCAGACTCAGCAGCGTAAAATCCCAAGAGGAGAATGGAGGCGAATGGTTTATGGTGTGGCCATCTCCCTGGGGGGGAGGGGTGATTTCTTGCTGTCTCTATGTCTCTCTCTGTCTCTCTGGTGAGCACACGTGCCCTATAGCAAAAATCTCTCAAAAAAAAAAGAAAAAGAAATATAATTTCACAGGCAGGCTTGGAGGCACAGCAGTAACATGCTCAAACAGTGTCAGATCTATATGAAAGATTGTAGGTTAGGGTCTCTGGTTGCTGAGCATGTGCACCTGTGATCCTGACTGACTGAAAAGGCTGGCTGTGGTTTACAACTTGAGATTCGGTTAAAGGAGTGTGTCTTTCTTAGTCTCTTCTTCCTCATGAAAGAAATAAGTAAAACTTAAGCTTAAAAAATAAATTAATAAAAACAATACAAATGATCAGACCTCTATCCCAGATCTATGGAACCAGAAATTTTAGGAGCTCTCTGAACCACTATTTTAAATAGATTTGCTTTTAGGAAGGTTCTTGAAATGTCAACAAGTTTTCATTCTTTTTAATTGCCAGAGGGTACATGAACTTGTCAGAGAAACAAAGAGAGAGAGAGAGAGAGAGAGAGAGAGAACCCTCTAACGAGGCATAGTTATGCCGCAATTCCTTTTCCTCCATTTTTGTATCTTTTGGGATTTGGGACATGCTTGCACATACACCTAATGTGTTTTTCAAGCCGCTGAGGTCAGGATTCAAACCACATGGTGGCAATGTGGGATCCAGCTCCCTCAACCACAAGACCATGGGGCTGGCCCAATATGTCAACAATCTTGATTATCAATAACAAACTCTAACTAATATAAATGGAGAATGAATTTGTGTGACAGTCTCAGGTAACTCACAAAAAAGAGAAACATTCTCAGATAATGAGCTGGAACGAACGGAGTGGGGGTGGCAGAAACAATCTGGTGAAGATGCTGTTGTCACCACCAACATATGCCACCTCAGCTAATTGACATAGTAGCCACTGTAGGAGGCCACTCACTGCTCAGGATAAACAGCCAAGAAGCCAGGCTGCTGCCACCATAGCTACCACAGAGCCAGTATCATTCATCATCCCTTTATCCTGTCACAACTTGCTCAAGATTCGAAGTATATTGTGGCTCAATCTGGGTCACAAGGCTAACAGGGGAGAGAGAAGAAGGTGAATCTCACCTTTAGGACTTCGAAGTCAGAGGTAGGAGCATACTACTTTCCACCAAGACCAGGATTATAGGGGATTTCTCGAATCTAGCAAGCAGGTTTAGATACTGAAAAGCAAAAAGAAAAAAAGAAAAAAAAAGAGATATATCCACTGTTCTAAGTATTCTGAATGAAGTAAACTACATTTTTAGGAGAGCCATGCTCTAGCAGAAGTGGGCAAATGTATTCTTTGTGTTACTAACTATTCACATATGAACTGTCTACAGGGCTCATCCTGTGGTGCAGTGATTAAACCTTGTGTATATGTATATGCCCAAGCACGGTTTGAATCCTAGTCCTGGAGGCTTGAAAAACACACCAAGTATATGCTGATGGAATGGAGAAATGGAGGATAGAGGGTTTCAGTGTGACTATGCCCCATTTGGGGGGTGCTTTCCCTTCCTCCCTCTTCCAAGAAAGCACATGTGACTTCTAGCAATTAAAAAAAATAAAACTGTTAGGACACTGTTGGGACCAGCAGTTGGCGTAATGGCTATGTTGCTGGACTCCCATGTAGTCAACCGCGGTTCAAGTCCTGGACCTGGTGGCTTAAACTCACACTGGGTACGTGTGTGTGCGTGCCCAAGACCCCGAGAGGAGAATGGAGGAGAAGGGATTGCAGCATGGCCATCCTTCCTGGGGAATGACTTCTCGCTTTCTGTCTCTCTGTCTCTCTCTGTCTTTCTGGTGAGTGCATGTGCCCTATAGCAAAAACCTCTCCAAATAAATAAATAAATAAAACTGTCTACAAAACTTAATTTTTGTTCTCGAGAGTTTTTTTTGTTTTTTTTTTTTAATTAGAGTATTGGTTCAAAGTGGATCATAATAGTGGATGGGGCCAAAAGGCACCTGCTGGCCTGATAGTCTTTCCTCTACATGTTAGAGTAAAGACTGATTGTAACATTGATTCTTGAACAGAACTATTGGTAGCCTTTAAGTGGATTTATTTGAAACTAAATTACTTGGAATTCAGTTTTGAATACTGAAAAAAACACTGAATCACAGGCAAAAATATAATTCTGATGTAAAATAGCTCAGATAAAAATACTCAAAATGGATCATAGACTTAAATGTAAAACATAAAACTATAAAACCTTTAGGAAAAAAAATCTTCAGTTCAAGTGGCACAGTGGTTGGGGTGACAACCACTGGAGCCCACATGGCTGGTTCTAATCCTGGACCCCTCGACTTGGGAAACACAAGTATATGTGCATGCATGCTCAAGGTCCTGAGAGGAGGAAGAAGTGGAGCTTCCCCTCTGGGGGGTGAGTTTTCACTTTCCCTCTGTCTTTCTCTGTCTCTCCAGCAAGCATATGTACCCTATGGCCAAAAAAAAGTAGTGACAGCACCAAATATTAGCAGAGAAATTGGACTATTCTTACAAAATTTGTTGGTGAGAATGCAAAATGATACAGCTACTCTAAAAAAGAGTTTGGCAGGTTTTTTTATTTGTAAAACTAAACAAGTAACTACAGTTTGACCCAGCAATTGGACTCTTGGTCAAATACTCAGAGAAATTCCAGGTTTTGTGTTTAAATGAAAACCTGTAGATGAACATTCATAGCAACTTTATTTAGAATATCCAAAAACCACCCCTAACATCCTCCAACAGTATAGTGGTTAAACAAACTGTGGTACATCTATACCACAGAAGGCTATTCAGCAATAAAAAAGAAATAACCTTTAGTACATGCTTATCACTGTGACTTGGATGAACCTCCAGGGAATTATGCTGAGTGAAAACAGCCAATCCTAAAAGATTGCAACCTGTATGATTCCATTTAGATAACATTCCTGAAACCATAAAAACATAGAAAACAGCTCAGTGATTTCAGAGGTTAGGGAAGTGGAGGGGTTGGGTAAGTGGATGTGGCCATAAAAGGCAAAAGGAAGGGTTCTTGTGGTGACAGAACTATTCTATATCTTGACTGTATAAATGCCAATACCCTGATTCTGTGACATTGGATTATAGGTTTATATGATGTTTCCAGTTTTGGTAAACTGGATAAAGGTTATAAGGGATCTCTCTGTAATATTTCTTGTGACTACATGTGACTGTGAAATTATTTCAGAATAAAAATACTAATTTAAAAAATTAAAAAAGCAAAGCAATGTCAAGTGAAAAGGTGAGTTCAGCAATCACTCCCTATAGGTGGAAATGAGGATTTTCCCTTTAGCAAATGCTTGTGTCCCTCACTGACCATTCATGGGTTCAAAATGAAATGGCTTTAGACTGGGAAAGGAAGGCCTTACTTCATTCTCTTTGCTAAATGGGGCTCAGGAGCCTACTCTTTGCTAAAAAATAAAAAGCTCTGGCGGGTGGCAGTGATGGTTAGGATACTGGACTCCCACATGGCCGACTGTAGTTTGAGTCCTGAACCTGGCAGTTTGCTTTTTCACTTTGTCCTTCTCTGTCTCTTTCTGATTAAATTAAAAAATAATAATAAATAAGATAAATAACTCTTTAAAAAAAAAAGGCTGGAGCTGCTTCTTTTAACTCTGATATACGTACACGAAAGCATAATGTATGTATAAAAAGTATGTATTCTAAGTGTATAAATCAATGAATTTTTACTATACACCGTAATCAACTCCCAGATGAAGTATCAGAACATAATCAGCATGCCAGAAGCCCCTTTCAAGTCGCCTTTTTTTTTTTAGAGGTTTTTGCTATAGGGCACGTGCGCTCGCCAGACAGACAGAGAGAGAAATAGAGACAGAAAGTGAGAAATCACCCCCCAGGGGGAATAGTCACGCCGCAATCCCTTCTCCTCCATTCTCCTCTCAGGATCTTGGGCACACATGCACACGCGCCCGGAGTGAGTTCTAAGCCACTGGGTCCGGGACACGAACCACGGTCGACTACGTGGGAATCCGGTGACATAGCCATTACGCTAACTGCTGGTTCCCTCAAGCTGCCCTTTATTCCCCTTAAAGGTAACCTCTATGCTAACTTCTCCCACCACAAGCTAATTTGACCTGTCAAATTTACATAAATGGGGAACCAGCAGTTAGCGTAATGGCTATGTCGCTGGACTCCCACGTAGTCGACCGTGGTTTGTGTCCCAGACCCGGTGGCTTGGAACTCACGCTGGGCGCGTGTGCGTGCGTGCCCAAGATCCCGAGAGGAGAATGGAGGAGAAGGAATTGTGGCGTGACCATCCCCCCTGGGGGGTGATTTCTCGCTTTCTGTCTCTATGTCTCTCTCTGTCTGTCTGGCGAGTGCACATGCCCTATAGCGAAAACTTCTCAAAAAAAAAAAATGGAATCATACAGAAAATGCTCTCTTGTGTCTGGCTACTTCTGCTCCAATATTATGCTTTTGAGATTCATCTATATTGTGGTATGAATTTGTCCATTTTCCCTTCTCATTGTTATGTAGCATTTTATTGTGCAAATACATCACAATGGACCTATTATACTGCTGGTAGGCACTTAGTTGATTTTCTGTTTTAGTACTGCTAGGATTATTTAAGTAGATGTGTTTTGGTGATTACACAGATACATTTTTTATAGCATTATCCAGATAGCCATCAGTCTGAGTCCTGGATTGAGGATAACATGGAGCAGGGTTCCCTCTTTACTTGAGATAGAATATAGTATAAAGGATTAGTAAATCTATTTTAAAAGTTTTTTTGCCATAGGGCACACGCACTTGTTGGAAAGAGGCAGAGAGAGGGAATATGAGAAACCACTTCCCAGGGGAGATGACCACACTGCAATCCCTTTTCCTCCATTTTCCTCTTGGTATTTTGGGCACGTACACATACATGCCCCACATGATCTTCAAGCCACTGGGTCTGGGACCCAAACAGTGGTCAGCAAAGTGGGAGTTCAGCGCCTTAACCATCATGTCATCGGCTGGCCCCAGGAATAGAAAATCTTTTTTTCTAACAATTACTTTTTAAATTTTATTTACTTATTTACTCATTTGACCAGAGAGAGAGAGATAGAGAGAGAGAACGAACGTGAGAAAGCAAGTCACCAGATTTGAACACAGGATTTGAACTATGGTCATCCACGTGGGAGTCCAGCACCTCAACCACCATGCCACTTGCCGGCCCCAGGAATAGCAAATCTTAAACCACTAGGATTTTGAGATTACTTATTAATGCTGTATAACCCAACCCAATTTATTGATAAATACTAGAACCCTGACTTTTTTTTTTTTTAATTTGCCAGAGGGCACAAATGCTGGCTAGAGAAAGACAGAGAGAGAGGGAAAGTAAGAAAGTACCTCTCAGGGGGACTGGTCATACCTTAATCCCTTTTCCTCTATTTCTCCCTCCTTTTAAGATTTTGGGTGCACACACACACATACCCAGAATATTTCTCAAGCTACAGGTTTTGGGACTTGAACTGTGAGTTGGTCATGTGGAATCCTGCCACTTTAACTGCCATGCCATGGGCTGACCCATTCTTGACTTTTAAAAATTATTTATTTCTCCCCCCCCCCTTCTTGGGAGAGGTTTTTGCTATAGGGCACGTGTGCTTGCCAGAGAGAGAAAGAGAGACAGAAAGCAAGAAATCACCCCCCCGGGGGGATGGCCACGCCACAATCCCTTCTCCATTTTCCTCTCGGGATCTTGGGGACGCACGCACACGCGCCCGGCGTGAGTTTAAGTCATCGGGTATGAGACGTGAACTGCGGTCAACTATGTGGGAGTCCAGCGACATAGCCATTATGCTAACTGCTGGTCCCTTTATTTATTTTTTCTGAGAGAGAGAGAGAGAGACACCCAACAGGGTCTGCATACCATAATCCACCTCTACCCAATCTCAGCCAGGCTGGATTATGGGTATGCATGCACCTAGAACATGGAGAGTGAACCTGGAACCCTCTCCTGTAGGTCACGAGCATTGTGTTACCACTGCACCACTGTCTGGCCCTTTGTTCTTGACTTTATTTTTAATTTTTATCTTTTTAGAGAGATTTTTGCTATAAGGCGTGTGTACTCGCTGGAGGGGCAGTGAGAGAGAAAGTGAGAAAAATCATGCCCCCAGGGGATGGACACACAGCAATCCCTTTTCCTCCATTCTCCCCTAAGGTTTAGGCATGCATACACAC